TGATAAGTTACCCAGGACTCTACCTCTCCATTATGGTACTACTGTATCACAAGCAAGGAAGACAGTACAAGCTCCACATTTTCTCACCTCAGGTGAGTTGCCTGCCAAAAAATATATTGACAGCTGGTCCTGGGGAACTCAGTCCACCACTGTGGCTGGTTCCAGTGGCCCATGCCTGTAATCCTAGCTACTTAGGAGTGTGAGATCTGAGGGAAAGACAGTGGTGACCGGAGGAGAGGCTGCATGTTCTTCCCTTTGGATGAAAACTCTATAGAGTTTGGATGTGGGCACATGACTGAACAAGGGTTGCTAGCATCCCAGGGTCCATGGGCATAGGGAGGAGAAAAACAGCCAAGCATCTCACTTACAGAGCAGGTGCCGTCACCCAGTCCTGGCCTCCGGAGTCCTAAAGCTTCTGCATTAAATTTCGGGCTGGAAACACAAGTCAGTTCCTTCCTCATAGGGCAGCCTGAAGTAGGATTAGAGGTTGTTCTGGTAATAAACTTCATAAGTATTACATGAGCATAGGACACCCATCAGTGGGGACTGTCAGATTTAGGGGAACCAGGAAAGGTTTTCTACAGAACATACGGTGTTCTGCTAAGTCTGTGACTGTGTTATTTGTTGCATCCTGGTTCTAAGACTCAGAATTAACCAACAATTACATTCAATTAAGGGCATTATATTTGGTCTGTACTTTTGGTTTTCCAAATACTTTCCAAACATCAAGGCTGTGCAGAAGGATGAAAGAAGAGTCATTAGTTTCTTCCTCAGTGGAAATACAATGACTTTCTCTTCTTTCCTAACATTTGATTATGGCTCTCTTGGTGACTCACTTTCCCTCTGAAAGGGACAGGCCAGGTAAGCAAGCAGAGCAGGCGTTGTGCCCTGTAAAATGACAAGCAGAATGATCTTACAGAAAGAACCTCTCAAAAGTACTTGCTCACTAACCACTATATAAAGCCATGTTTTCTTCCTTAGCCCAAACCAATGCTCAATTGGAACAACGTATCTGGTACTGCAGGCTAGAGAATAAGTGGGACTTATCACTCTCAAAGAAGCTATTCTGCCTTCTCCAGCAGGCTCCAAAGGCTGGAGAGAACATGGCCATCTCTAAGAATCTGGATCTCTATCACATACCATGAAATCTTTCCTCTTCAGTATGAAAAGTAGAGAGCAAAAGAGAATCTAGCCAGCACTGGATATAGATTCAACATCATCAGCCAACCTCAACAAAATCTGCAAACTCTCTGAAGGAGCTACCAGATTCCATATAAACAGACAGCACAAGCCTGAGTCTGCAGTGAAGTTGGTTAAATAAATAAACCCAGTCATACTACACCGGACTCCTCTTACAGTTGCTTCTGCCTGAGTCATGGATGACATCACCTCGACAGGGGGCAGCTGTGGGGTTCTCTGGAGATTGTGGGGCAAGAAGGGGGAGATATGCTGGAAAGCTGCAGAGTTTGGCTTTCTCCCCTAAGCGCAACACTTGGGCGGACCTGTCATGGCTTGAAAACTGCACATAAATACAGAACAGCAAAATAAAATCACAGTTTAGGATGTTAACCCTGAATTAGATGCCCATTCTGAGTTCTAACACAAACCCCCAAGTTTCTAGAATAAAGGGCATGAAGTCAATTTCCCTTGATGGCTAGTCTGCTGCTTCTGACTACATTTGATCTGTCTTGTCAGCTGACATTCAAGGGCATTCAAGGCCATTTCCATAGGGTACTTAGTTCTCCTGTTCCTAGCCATACCAGTAATCTGCATGAATGGAGGTCACTTGCACTCCCAGCTTCCCTAGCGGGCCCCACCTCGGCACTGAGGCTCTGTCCTCAGAACAGGAAGCCTGAGGTAGCCTTCATTTCAAGGCAGACTACAGGGGCCAGCCAGGCAAAATGGCACAGGTCACTCTGAAGTTAGATGCATAGTTACAAGAAAGAAAAAGCAGTGAGACCATCAGAATGAGACTTGGAACTTTGTAATCTTGAGACCTCATATTTCATAATTCGTTTTAAGTCTTCTTTTCTGGGAAAAAAATGTTATTGTTGGACTTCTTAAAAATGATCTTACATGGCATGTGCTTGCAAAGGCCAGGACAGATTCATACAGGTAGGTAACAGGTAAGACAGTCGTAAAATTCTACAGCAAACTATCATTTCCCCTCAAATTTAATTTCCTGCACACTTTACAGCAAATCAGCTTCTGAATCAATTTGAAAAGTTCATCATTTTACTGATTCAATTATGTGCATACTAGTCCAATCTCAAATCCCCAAGGATTCGAGAAAGCCCGTGGGAGTGGGAGTTGGACTGCTGAGAAAAGACACTAATTAGGGCGATCCTCTTCTAGTCTCTGAATTACAGGAGTCCTGGTCTTGCCATGCTAACAGGGCAGAGGGGGTACTGACTTCTGCAGTGGGCTGTCAGGAGAAGCAAATATCCACAAGCTCTGATCTTGGAAAGGAAAAATTCCTCCCCCCACAACCCCCCCACCCGAGATTCTTCCTCTGCGTGGCTCTGCAAGGCGCTCACAGCACTAAGAGACGAAAGTAGGAGAATCAGCCTCAGAGAGACCTAAGACTAACTGCTCAAACAGCAGCCACAATTCTACACCACACCCAATGCCTTTATCTAAGTAATTGTTCTGAAGGCACTCCTGGAATTAATTTAGCTTCTCAGAATTCCAATGAGGGAGAGGTCCTCTCTAACCAACCCAGCCCTGGGCAGGTGGCAGTTCCACTGCCCTGCTTACCTAGTCCTCATGAACTCTGATCTAGGTAGAGCCCTTGGCCTGCTCACCACTGAACCCCCAGTGGGCAGCTTACCACCTAGCACACAGTAGGCACTCACAAATGATCTTAATCACTGGCTGGGGAAACAACTAAGGCAGGAGCTTCAGGCCTCTCTTTCTTGCTATCTTAAGCTCCAGATCAGCCAATAGCTTAGCATCATCCTCTGGACTTCCCACCATTAGGAACATTTATAGAGCCAAGAAGCATTGCCTACATGTAGCAGAGCAAGTCAAAAACATTACCACACTCAATATGTTGAGACCTGTGATTGTATGAATGCATTTATGTGTTACAAACAGTCCAGTCTCCAGTTTCATGCTCCTTTCCAAATATTCTATGTAATTCTATGTAATCTTGAGTTTCTTCAAGACCTTTATGGTTCCAGCTGCCAACAAGACAGTGTCCACCCAACCTATCACCACAGCCAAGGGCTCCAAACATCCAAGTGTCTAAGAAGCCTCTCTCTGAACATGAGGTGCTGCTCTTCTGCGCAGAACTTAGAAATAGCTCCCTCTTCTCATCTCTTTCAATCTGAAGCACATCTTTCTGCATCTCCTAGCTGCCCTTCCTCCACCCAGATGATCCACCCATCATCATGGAACCCAACTTTATCACCTCTCATTTTATATATTCAAGTGTAGAGTTGTCACAAAGGATAGACAATTCTGAATTATTCTTTACTATATGTAAGTCAGATACTAAAAAACAGATACAAACCTCATTTCCTGATTTAATAACTCCCTGTACTCCTTTATGATCCAATATTGGATATTTAAAACAGGTATAATTGTGCAATTGAATTTTAATATCATGTCCCCAAGACTAAAATTCAAAGAACAAACTGGGTACTGAAAGCATAAATATTTCCACAATGATCCATTCCAAAAGAGCATTAGGGAAGTAAGTTCCCAAAAATGAAATTAAAAAGTCACTACAAAAATTGGAGGTTTAATTTTCCAGCAAGACATTTTACATGTAGTACTGTTTTATTACATGGAATTCACTTTAAAATTCCCTGGTGTTCCCAAAGTTCTCTACAATACAAAGTGATCTCAACAATGGAACTATCACTGGTTATAAATGAATCTGTGAGTATATGGAATGATTCTTTTAGTTCTATATCTCAAACCTCCAAACTATTTAGTGTTTCTTCATCTCCCCCAACTTCTTAGGAGCCCAATAAACTACTGTTTATTCTGAAGAGCCATCTCAACCACACGGTACCCCTAGCATTGGCAATTTTTGACGGTTTTCCACAGAAACACCACCAGACAAATCTCAATGTTAAGTCTCAAAAGGCCCCTACTTGAGTAAAAAATTTCTTTTGGGCTGGTGTCTGCGGCTCACGCCTATAATCCTAACTACTCAGGAAGAGATCTGAGGATCTCGGTTCGAAGACAGCCTAGGCAGTGGAGTCCGTGAGGCTTATTCTCCAATTAAGTAGTAAAAAGCAAGAGGTGGAGTTGTGGCTTAAGTGGTAGAGCACCGCCCTTGAGATAAAACGGTAAGGGACAGTGCCCAGGCCCAGAGTTCAAGAATCTGTGCCAGCACGCGCGCGCGCGCGCGCAAACACACACACACACACACTCTTCTCTTGGCTTTTCAAGTCTAGAACCTGGGGACAGCGGTTCCGTGCTGATGTCACCCACCGGGGCGGACCTGCAGGAATCCTTGCCACTCCTGCGGGACAGCAGGTTGTCCAATATAGTCCCTCTGGCCCTCATTGTGAGTGAAAATGGAAGCTTCAGGGCGCTCTCGGGCTTACCACCCTCCTGGGGGAACTTTGAGCTACTTTTCGGTAAATGCCAACAATGTGTTCAAAGATACGAAGCCAAGTCGTGGTTCAGTCCCGCCGGTGCGCCAAGCTTCGGGATCAGACCCGCGCTCGACGCCCCACCCGGGGCTGCGGGGGGCGGCCTTTGAGGCGACCAACCCTCGGGCGCCCGTCTCCTCCCACTCGCGGCGCCGTCTTCTCCGAGGGCGTCTGGGGTTTCCGCGGAGGGACGGGTGAGGGGGCCCGTAGCGCCGGGCGATCGGCACGGAGAGACGCCCCGGAAACCGCCGTCGGGCTTCGGGACCGGGGCCGGCGGCTCCCACGGACGTCCCCGGATTCCCCCCGACGCCCAAACGCCAGGCCCAGAGGGCCCCCCGGGTGCCCCGCGCCGTTGGGCGGCGAGGCCCGCGGCGCAGGCGCGGCCCTTACCCACGGTGGACTTGCAGGCCTCGCAGAAGGTGTCGTCGGTGAAGCGCTCCATCAGGCTGGTCTTGCCCACGCCGCGGGAGCCGATGATGATCACCTGCAGCTTGAAGTCGGCCGGCCGGGGGGGCTGCTTCCTCCGACGGGCCTGGCCGCCCGACAGCGCCGGGGAGCCCGTGCCCA